AGACCTTATTGTGGCCTTCCAGTACCTGAAGGGGTTCTGGAAAGATGGGGACCAACTTTTTAGCAGGGCCTGTTGTGACAGGACAAGGGGGAATGGTTTTAAACTAAAAGAGAGTAGATTCAGATTAGGTATAAGGAAGAAATTTTTTACAATGAGGGTGGTGAAACCCTGGAGCAGGTTGCCCAGAGAGGTGGTATATGCCCCATCCCTGGAAACATTCAAAGTCAGGTTGGACGGGGCTCTGAGCAACCTGCTCTAGTTGAAGATGTCCCTGCCCACAGCCGGGGGTTGGACTAGATGACCTTTAAAGGTCCCTTCCAATCCAAACTATTCTATGATTCTGTATTATTACTTGTGCTGCTACAGAGTCCTAATGTATTGACAAGCTAATATGCTATTTATAGCTGCTTCTTTGAAAATGTAGTAAATATTTCTTCTGCAAATTGTGACATACAGTAGTTGTTTTGGCTGTTTGTATTAGGTAATTGCTTCCAGTGGCTGAGTTTAGATCAAGTAGCCAAGCTAGACAGAGGCGGAACGCTTTTAGTTCTCCCATTTTTTTTTCAAATTTAAAATATCAGTCAGTAAATACTTTCTTTTATGTTGTTTATTGTGGCTAATGATGTGACCTTTTTTTAGAGCGTGCTAGTGAAAGCATCCATCAACTGAAATATGCCTTGGAGGAAAGACAGTTTGCAAAGGGTGAGGGTGAAGTTGGATTTGACCAGCCCTCTATGGACGAGGGCAGTGATGATGTGGACAGGGGCAATGATGACAGTGGGAATGCAGCCTGGCATGAACTGCAGCACAGTCACGCAGGTAAGATTACTCTGAAAGCAAGTAGTTTAAAAATTGTTAGAAATTGTACTAATTTTAATGAAAAAAGTAAATATTTTTTGGTTATTATGTTTTTTATCTCTTCCTAGTTAATCAACTTAAAATTTTGTTGCAACATCAAGAAGGAATGGAAAGTGAAGTCTCTCTGTCAAGCAGGAAGATGTCGTTCTATGTATGTTTCTTGTTTCTTTTGTGTTGTTTGAATGAACAGCATGCATGATGAGATCAATTTTCTAGTATCCGGGAAGAAAAAGAAACACCGAATCATTTTATATTCTGAAATATAGGAGATTCCTGAGGCTATGGCCAGAACTTGGTATGCTTATGACCATAGGAAAAAGAAGTCTATAATACAGGATTTAGACTTTTCTCCTCTTTTGTTGACCATCCAGTGTGGGTCACAGTCCACATTGCTTTCAGCTTTCTCATCTTTTTCTTTCCACCAAAAGTTCATCCTTTTTGTTTTAGAAACAATTGGGATTGACTACATGGACAAATATCTGTAAAAGCAGCCTCTGTTTTCCTTTGACTGTACTTTAAGGATTCTCAAAGGCTGTAACTTCTTATGCTGTAACTATGCTTTTTCTTTAGAGGATTAGAGATGCTCATGTAACAACAGGTTTTCTAGCTCTCTGCCAAAACGCAATGGTCTCTGTCAAAGTTAGTTTACACCCTTGCATGGGCTTCTCAGATCTAGCCTTCTTGCAGCAGAACTGCACCAAAGTACGTGCAGTGTTACAGAGCAAGATACTGCTAGATACTAGTATTCCTGTAGGGAAGTAACTCAAAGGCATTGTTCCAGTTTTATCTTTTGATGGTCTACACTGACTACTTTTGGTTTATACTAAGGAAGACAAGCAGCTCTTTGCTGTCAATATTGAAGTAGCAGTCTGCTGTGTTGCTTTGAGCCTGTGTTATGAGCCTAGCTCTACTGTTCTGACATTGACAAATTTTATTTAAAGTTCAACTTTTCTGAGTGTTCTAAAATTAATGAGTTTAGTCTGATTGTCCTGCCAGGTACTTTTGCCTCATAATGGTGCAGGATAGAATTCATGTTTTGTAGCTCAAGGGAATGGTGCATCATTGGTTGATCTTGACATGACATGAATCAGTATCAATTTGTATTTAGCCTTTGGAGGGGAGGGAAACCATCTTTTAATCCATCTTTGTCAAAGTTTTCTACTTATATTGGGAAATTTTAGTAGAGTGGAAAAATTCAGAAAACGGGATACTTTTTCTAAGAAACATGTGATAGTGCTTTCAGGGACTGGATTAAGTGATGGAGGAGTAAACAGAGAAAAGATGGGAATTTACTATATCGATAGGGCATTGTCCCATTTCTTCCTCTTGAAGTTTCCAATAAGAGAGATTTTGTGAAGTGGTGGCCTTATTCTCCTTTTGAACTGTCCTCCATCTGCTTGCTAACCAGGATGTGAAAGTGTTCTGAAGATAGACCAAGTATAAAGCTCAAAAAATGTGGAAGTACAAACGTGCACACACACCAAAAAAACTCAAACCCTTATAAAATACAAGCTTGTCTGGTGGTTTGCTGGACACTGCAGAAATGCTTCTTGTATAAGAAGAATCAGATTCCCCAAAGGTCAAGGAAAGCAAACTTAGATTATAAGTAACCTTAACCTTTCGCATTGAATTATGCTGAAATACCTGATGACTGCTGAATAGTAGATGACTGCATGTGTCTATAGCTAAATAATTTCACAGAAGGTATACTGTTTAGTAAACTTTACAACATTTCATACGTATAAATAACATTGTCTTACAAAATTCCCTTCTCTTGCCCATTGACAAAAAGTTGCAACAGGCATCAAGTGAGTACATCTTTTCTTTGATTACACCCAGACGGTTGGGCAGGGATTTTCCTTTTGCTCTCTACCTCATCACCTGAGGTCAAGGCCCAGCAAGATTGCTTCATACAACAACTGCAGTTCTACAAGCTGGGTCTTGGCTAACCTAACTGTACCCAGCCTGGGTTCCTGACACTGTTGTTATAGCTGGAGTGCCTTTGACTGATTCCTGTTGTTTCTTGACAGTTTACAGGGCAGCAGATTAAAGACTGCCAGCAGGAGAGTGTCTAATTCTGGGGTTTAGAGGTTTGAAATTTGAGGCATTCTAGAAAAGTACAAGGTGGGCCAAATTATCTGGGATGTTGGCAAAACATCCCAACATCCCATGTTACTGTCTAGAATGCTGGCCTCTAAAGCTGCCAAGCATTTATATTTTATAAATCCTTGTGTTTATATGGTAAACTTTTCAGTATTAAGAATGCAAATGTGAACAGCATTTCTGAGACTCATGCATAAACATTTGGTAATTCATACTGATTAGATGTGTCTTTCAGTTCTGATTTTAATATTTGGCCTACTTTAAATATATGCTCCCCTAACGTCTGTTCTTTCACTCTGTAACAGATGTTATATTATCAGAATAGTAATGAAAAATCCCCCAATTAATTTATAATTAATTGATAACCATTGTTTAGTAAAAATGGTAAAAAGAAATAAATCACAAATGATCTACCAGGCATTCGCGTCATGAAAGGGCAGGTAGAGGCTTCTAAATAAAGAAATGTGAGTTAATAAGTTGTGTTAAGAAGTTCTCTGTTCTTCTGTTGGAAAAATATGCTATGTATTATTTTCCTCTTAGTGAAACGGTTCTTCAGCACTTTTGTGTACATTACACCGATGTTTCTCAGGTTAAACATTAGCACTGTTTTTCAGTGAAAAATAATTTGAATAGAAATGGAGTTTTTCACATTGTTGTGGTTTAACCCCAGCCAGCAACTAAGCCCCACACAGCCACTCGCTCGCTCCCCCCAGATGGGATGGGGGAGAGAATCAATAGGGTAAAAGTGAGAAAACTCGTGGGTTGAGATAAAGACAGTTTAATAGGAAAAGCAAAAGCCGCGCATGCAAGCAAAACAAAACAAAGAATTCATTCACTACTTCCCATCGGCAGGCAGGTGTTCAGCCATCTCCAGGAAAGCAGGGCTCCATCACACATAACAGTTACTTGGGAAGACAAACGCCATCACTCCGAACGTCCCCCCCTTCCTTCTTCTTCCCCCAGCTTTATGTGCTGAGCATGACGTCATATGGTATGGAATATCCCTTTGGTCAGTTGGGGTCAGTTGGGGTCAGCTGTCCCAGCTGTGTCCCCTCCCAGCTTCTTGTGCACCCCCAGCCCACTCACTGGTGGGGTGGGGTGAAAAGCAGAAGAGGCCTTGACTCTGTGTAAGCACTGCTCAGTAACGAAAACATCCCTGTGTTATCAACAGTTTCCAGCACAAATCCAAACCAGCCCCATACCAGCTGTGTTTCCGACTCGAGATCACAGATGTTAGAATTGTATCAGCTTCAAAACTGGCTGAGGATCGGCGTAAAGATGCTTGTTTTCATCCAGAATAGTGAACTAATGCTAGAAATGTACCTGTTGTTCCTCTGAGATGACCCCATTAACAACGCTGTGTGAATTTTGTATCCTTACCAGAAAAGAATACAAAAAAGGGGGATTGACCCTTTACAAATATGAGTAAAACTGTTCAGTAAATTGGTGGAAAAAAGCAGACATCTTTTGTATAAGAGAATGTATGTTCTACTTAGAGATATGTCCCAGTTTGACTGTCTTAATTTTAATTATTAAAAAACCCCCACCCAAACTAAAACATTATGGCTTGCATTGGTATACTTTTAGCTTCAGGAATTAAAATAGTTCATATTTGTCAACTAGCATTAGACTGTACTTAGTTCTTTCAGTGGATGAAATTTGCAATAGTGGAATATCAAGCTAAGGTAGTAAACCAATATTGAAATACATAAAGAGGACAAGTGTGGATCTGATAGTAGCCAATTTATTTAAATTTGAAAGTAGAGACTCCATTAAATATTTTTGTGATTATTCAATGGCAGTTTCATTGCAGACTAACATATTTATGCTTAATACTGTCACTCCATTAAAATTATTTTAAAGTATGTTATTCTTCATTAGAACTATATAAATTATTAAACTGTAAAAACATATTTTTTTTAATGTCTAGATAAGTCCTTTTTATTAGACTGCTGAGGACTGTTTGTTGCTAATAGGATGAAAGAAGCTGTAGTTTTCAGGAAACTATGATTTTAAGGGCATTTTAGTAACATTTATTTACATTCTTTGTTTGTACTGTATTCTTAGGAGTAAATGCTGTAAAGTTATAGCGATTGTGTTTTTCACATTTTGTAAAAAGTTTAATCCCTGTTTAAATCTTGCTGAGCAAGGCAGAGCTGTAATTGTTTACCTTGAATGGGCAAGGAGTCCCTTCGTTACCTTCTTTAACTAGTTAATTTGTGAGGCTGTCAAAAGTGTTACCTATTTATAGGGTCTTCAGAAAGGTTTTTTTAGAATTGTCTTTTAAAATACCAATAATCAAGTTCTTTGATAAACGTAATACCTATTACACATTGTCCCGTGTTTCTATGGAGGTATTAAAATTGCAGACATAGTTGTGTTTCTGTAGCAATTGTTAATGAACGTTTAGAGGAGTTGCCTTTGATGCACATCCACAACTCATTAAAATTCAAGCGATTTTTATATTTACTTCACAGAGAAGAAAATATCCCCTTAAGTTTGCCTAAAATGGATGATACACTGAAATAGCGGTATGAATTTCATTTACAAATGGTTTGTGGATATGATTTAATCCTGCTTTATAGATGTGCTTAATCAAGCAGCTGTACATTTTGACAGAAGTGACATATTTACTTTTTGTATTGAAGAATTTAAGTTGTGACTGTTTCTCCCTTCCTCATGATCTAGTACTTGGTGACTTTTTATTAAGCATATGTAGTATTCTGTGTGCAAGCAACATCTTATTGCAATAAATGGAAAACCGGAATATAACACATGCTATTCTTTACTTCCTTCAGAAACCCCCAGAAGCTGCAACTGGAGACTTACCAGCCCTTTCTGATCTTGTTCCTATAATCAATGATCAGTCACAGTACATTAACCATTTAGAAGCAGAAGTGAAGTTTTGCAAGGTACTAGACAACATATTTCACCTACTAAACCCCTGGTCCCCTAAATATGAAGAATTGCTTTAAAAACAGCTTACACTTAGTCTTGAGATTGATTGTTGCAATGACCAAAACTGAGCCAAACGCAGTTCAGTGGATACTGAGCCTTACCATGTGTCTTGGTGCCTGTGTAGTGTTTAAGGGTCTTCAAAGACATTTGTACGTCCTATCACAAATATAAATAAGCAATTTTTTTTTAAGAAGTTATATGGAAATTCTAGCTACAAATGTACAAAGTCTGTCTTTTGAGTATTCTTATTCTCTCTAAAAGGGTTAAAATAGTTGAGAATGTTAATCTAGACTTTTGGTATCAGGATGTATTTAAATGTTGATAGCCTTCTCAAGGATCCTTTTACATGCAGTTACTGTATCGTATAGGAGGAATTGTCTGGGATGAAAGATCGAGTACAAGTAGTTGTACTTGAAAATGAGGAACTCCATCAGAAACTGAAATTCTTAACTGGGAAACATATGTTGAGAGAACAAACTCTTCTAGATGCCTCGGTAAGTTTGTATTTTTCTGTTGTTGTTTTAATCAGTGTTCAGGGACCTGATTCTTTTTAAGGAAGGCTATATAAATGGTTATCTGCAAGCTGAATTTTAGTCAAATTTCAATGAGAGTTTGTAAACATGGATTTCTGTGGATAACATCATTATCATAGGTTGCCAACCTAATTAACTTGTTTATTGGGTCATATATTCTACTGTAATGAAAACTGTAAGATTCAATACTTATATAATTAACATATGCTTCAAAAAAACAGCCTACATAATTATAATTGAAGCATTAATATTTTTATTTTAGGCAAATACTCAGAACTCCTGGCCTGTAGGTGGTAATGACTGTAGCATGCATCAGCCTGTCACCTCATCACCAGCACATAACAAAGATCAGGCTTTTGTTACAGCAGCTGTTGGAGAAATAGAAAAATGGCCTGTAGAACTGGTTGGTATTAACTTTCTTCGCAGAGTCATACCTTTGCAAAACCATTTGGTGCTTTGTTGTTGCTGCAGTTCTGATGATTAATTTTGTAACAGACATACAGGAGAAGTTTTGGTTGACTGAACCTTAATCTGAAGTCAAATTTTATTCTCTTAAACCTCATCTTCTCATTATACCCTAATTAATATTATTATCCAGTTAGACACAGATGGCAGGTTGTGTCTGCAGATGTTGACTTCCCAGACATAAGTCTTACTTTAAGAATGTCCTGTCAGTGATGGCTCCACTGTACTTTGGAGGTTCTTAGCAGTAACACAATGCACAAGCAGGTGGGAACTAGCTGGTGTAATTTAGGTAGCCCTCCAGGCAAGTTCTTTTGCAATGAGTCTTTCTGCTCCTGGAGCAGCGCAGGTTCAGTAAGGTAAAAAAGTCGCTTTGTGCAGTCTGTGTTCCCTAAGCTGAATTACACATTTTGCGCTTTTAGAAATACAGAGGAGCCCTACTGTTTCAAAGACGATGTTATCTCTATCCTGTATTTTTAGTTTGGGAAGATATTCTTAATTTTTTTGCTCTAAATTAATGGGGTAGCATTGCCATCTTTTGGGAAAAACATGGTTAACTGAAAGTTTTGATGTCTTTTATCCATGTGCATATGTGTGCTGTGGAATTTAAAGGGTACTTTAATTCTTCAAGATAATTGTGTGTATTTATTAATTTTTCCTAGTAAAATATATTTTTGTCATTTTTGTGCCTCATCTAGAGCTGAAAACCTCTTCAATGATCCCTAACGCCTGCAGTTGTTTGAAAGCTAGTTTTTACAGTAATTGCACTTTTTCTACATCTGTCATATTTAAAGCAAGAGAATCATATTGATTGTGACTTCTTTCTAAGTGTCATAAGGAGCTAAATTTCTGGTGTTTTATCTAGTTCGTTATCACCATTGTATTTAACATTGGTGTGGTTGATTTATATATCTAGTTCTTCACCTGGTAATAAGAGTAACTCACTATATTATAAATAAATAGCCTGTCTACTTGAAGTTCTTCAGAATTCCTCTTTTATTTCTGCTGACTTGTGGGAGAGTGACAGCAAACTTGGGACAAGATCATCAATTTGTGTAAATTACTGTAGATGGCTGCAATTGAAGCTGGAGCAATTTACCATATGAGGATCTGGCAAGATGTATAGAAATAAGAAAATGGGAGGGTTGTTCATTTTGTAGATTTTCACAAGTGTGAAATACTTAAATTTCTCTGACACTAGTGTTTCAACAAGTTTGTATCTTCAGAGGAAAAGAATGAATGTGGCTAATGTCTAGATTTATTTGTAAAGACAATATTATGAAGAAAGCAAAAGACATTTATTTTCTCCCGTCTTTTCTAAAGGAGAAACTAAAACTTCTTTATCAAGAAAAAGTCAATGTCCTTGATGCTCAAATACAGTCTCTAAGGTAAAGTGAAATGTTTATTTTTGTTCTTAAAATTATTGTTAATAGATTAGCACTTCATAACAACATGAACCACTCTTAATTTGAATTTAAGTAAGAGATGCCCAAATGTCTGAATGTCGTGTGTCCCTGAAAGCTGATTTTACATGAAGTTCTCTCAAACATAAATGTGGCAAAACTAAATGTACTGCTATTATGTAGCAACATTAGAAATATATAAATTTTATAAATTCAATTGAATTATTGTATTAGTAGAAATTACAACTTGATATAAAATGCCTTTATCCTTTTTACTCTTTTTCTTTATAGAAACATCAAGTCTGTTAAGGTAGACCAATCAAAGAAAAAAAGAGAAGTTAAAATTTTAACTTGTGTGAGCTCTTCCAGAATTAGCTTTCTTCTACTAATATTTTACCATCGCAAGTTTTAGAAATCTTAAGCATTGAACTAGTTTAGGCCATATAATGATTTTGGAGCAGGAAAGCATAGTTTTGAAGCATGCAGGCATTGTTTCCAGTCATGTAACCTGCTATCTTTAAACACAAAAATATTTGAAAATAAGTCCTCATGTATTTCTCAAAATATTAAGGGTTTGAATGGATAGCAAACTATGGGAAGAACAGAGGTAGAGGCAACCACTTTAGGATTTGGTGTTCTGCAGTAAACTTCCCCCTCTACACTGCATTCATGGTACTGCTGCTGACTTTGTTTAATTATGTTTTTCCCTAAATAAACTGTGGTTTCATATATCTGAAAATTCTAGACTTTTGTGTGTGTGTAAAAAGAGTTACTGGTAGGGAGACAAGTTATGTGCAAAGCCAATTGTGCTAGTGAAAGTAAAGGAGGATCTTAAATTTCAGCTATGTAATCCAATTCCCCTCCCCCAACACCTTGAATATGCTTAGAAATAAATATTGGAGGCTAAAATAGTCTGAAAATTTCCACAAGTACATTATTCAGTCTCTTGATTTCTCCTAAGGGGCATGATCTTTCAAACTGTAAGTTCTGCAAAGCACTTGAGCATTTGCTAAATTTTAATTAAAGTGAGAAATTATTTCGCTTTCAGTGGGACTATCCTTGTTTTTAACTTTAAGCATGAATTTACATAGGACTCGCTGATTTCTGTCCAAGATTTCCCAACAATAATTCTGTTGTACCATGACTGTCTAAGGATAGATGCAGAGCAAATTCTATTCAGGTTATAGTGGATTATATTTAATAGACTAACTACTAAAATTGGAAAAAGTGCACAGAAGATTTCCCAGATGGAAATAAGCATGCATGCAGTGTATATATCATGTGCACAGTAAATCCAATGCAACCAGAATGTGTCAGACTTACTATGTGTATGCTGTCCAGATGGCCTGCGTAACAAACCAAAAGCTTTGGATTCATTGCACAATTTGTCAAATTGATCTATATGTGCACAGTGTGCGTTTGTCTGGAACTTCCTGATGTCAGCATTCCTACTGCTTGCGTTCTCCCCAGCCTGACAGATGCTTGGAAATTCTGGAGAAAATTCTTCAGAGCACCTGGTAAAAATTTCGGAGACAAGTAAAAAACTTACCCTGTTTTTTCTGGAGATGTGGTTGACCTCAGTTTGTGTGTATTGCTGATCAGAGCGAATGTGCTGAATACATCTGGATTTTGACTAGGGAGCATAGGGGATTTTTACTTTATATTGTAATTTTACAGTTAATTTCAGAGTAGAGAAGAAATGGAAGTTAGTGATATTATTAGTAAGACCAACAGAAAAAATGTTAGATAGGGTATTGAAATATTTATACAGCTTATAATGTTTCTTGCTAATGAATCCTTTACTCTCTTCAGACAATATGTAAGCTGACAAGTTTTATCTAATAATTTTCTGTGTAACTTCACTATTTTCTGATACTACAGAGGGAAGGAACAAATTAATATAATTTTGTTTTGTCTATTAATAATTTTGATTAGGCAGTTCAACTATTATTTCTCTGCTAAAGTCTTCCTTAGCCTACTGAAATGTGTAAAATAACGTTCGTTACAGGGATTCTTACAGTTCTTTTTAGGTTGCAGCTGTAATTATATGTTGCATATAAATATAACTTGTAGAAATGTTTGATTGCTCAAATAATACTTTTTATTTCTTCTTTCTAGAAAAGACCTTTCAGAATCTCAGAAGACATGCAAAGATTTGGAAGGAAGGCTAAAACACCAGAAGTCACTTTTTTCAGCCACGAATTCTAGCCGGGTTGGTGGCCTGTGTCTGAAATGCGCACAACACGAGGCAGTTCTTGCACAGACTCATTCTAACGTTCACATGCAGACCATTGAGAGGGTAACAAAGTAGGTTTGGGGGGTATTTACTTTCCCAATGAAAGTACAGTGGCTTACACTAAACCACATAAGTCTCAGTGTGTTGGGTTGTGTTCACAGAGAGATGTGCACTTACAGAACAATGGACTCCCAAGTTGAAGCTGTAATACTAAAATCAGTGGCAGAATATGAGTGTAGGTCCCAACCACTTTGAAATCCGTGGCAGTTTTGCTACTTATTTCAACTGGGAAAGAATGTTAGTCGTTATCTTGTAATTATGATACCTTGGCCTGTCCAGATAATCAGAGTGTTGATAGTCAGTTTCCTGCACTTTTTGTATAAACAAACCCTTCATGCTGTCAGAACAAATATTATGGAAGTCCATATATTTTGATTTATTACTTCCTGCAAAAATTCCTTATCTTTCTGTAGTTAGAAGTTTTTCTGGCTCCACTTTATTCTCCTTACATTTGGGGAACTTTTAGGATACATCAGCAGTGTAATCCTTTTTTTCTTTTTTTTTTTTTCCCCCCTTGAATTTGCTTAGTAGGTCAGGTGTTTGGGATAGGATGCATTGCTCTTCCCTAACTACAATAAGTCAGAGAAAAAAGTTCCTTTGGATAAAAAAAAAAAAGAAATTATTTGCTGCAGCCTTTTTTTAATTGTAGCTTTTGTTTAAATGATTTTTAAAAACAGCTATACAGGCTGAATGTGATATATATAATCCAGAAATCTGAACAGCATTAAAATGTTTTTTTCTTAAGAAATTCTGCTAGTCAGTCATCTTCAAAAATTTCTCTACTTGCTAGTAATAATGATAGGATACTGCAACTTTCTCAAAGTTTGTTAAACAGACATCTATTTATTGTCATATATCTGAAGCTTCTTAGGATTGCTGAAGTTTTAGAATGAGCCTGCTGGAGATTAGGTAGTGGGTCAATTAGACCTGAAAGGACATAGTACATATAGTCTGTCAAATGGATATTATCTCTACGCATTACATGACTGTTGCCAGGATTTATGTATTTTTCTATTCTCAAGTCCAAGAATTTTCTGGGAAAGCTCTCTGTTGCTGAAAAGTCATGTTTCAAAATCTACTTTTGTAAAAAAAGTAATTATTTGTCACAGACACTGGAAAATACGAGCAAACTATAAATCAGTACATTCTTGTCATCTTGTATTATAGTGCAGTTTGAAATAAAAGATTTGAGCTGCCCTATTTATCTTTCTTAAACCATTATTTCAGTTTGAGATTTAACAAAATCTGAAAGTTATATCTTCCTGTGATGCAGCTTATTAAAAAGAAAGATATTTCAGTAGGATTTTCAAAGGGACTTTGTCCAAATCTTGTTGAAATGAAATTTCAAAATATGACTGTTAGTTCTCTGGCGAATACAACTGTGTTACCATTCCACACAACATGAAGGAAAAAAAACCCAAACAAACCCAATAGTTTTCAGCCAGAATCTCTAGTTGCACCTAAACCACAGACAATTATACTCTTAATTTAAAAGCTTTCAACATATCAAAATAATGAAAAGGTGAAGTTAAGTATTACAGTTTTACTGACTGTGCTTCACTGTTTGGTATAGAAATCAGTTTCTTAATTAACAAAAGTTCAGAGGGGATGTAGAATCCAGAAGTCGTATTGTTTGGTTTAGTTCCAGTTTGCAGCAAAGGGCTATTGATTTTCATTTGATATACTTAGTGATCTGAATTACTTGTTGAACCTAACCCTTCCTTTTATTTTTTTGCTCCCTATTTTACATTTAATGACAGTGTAATTTCATATTGCTTCAATCCGTTTTTTCAGAAACTTGCGGGTTTTTTTGGGAGGGGAGGGGGTTTGGGTTTTTTGTTTGTTTTGTTTTTAGCATGGATCCGCATTTTGTAATGCCAACAGAATGTTGCTCAGCTTCAATATATTTATGACTTGAGCTCTGCTGTCATTACTGGCAGTTTCACTAATGGTCCATTTTTCTGAAGTGAAGGACTGGTCATCAAACAAATGATATTTTTAATATCTGCCAAGCCAGCAGTATACTGTCTTTCACTCTTAACCCATGCTGGTTTTAGTCTTGCTTCACTTACCACCCTTATGTCTTTTATCTGTTAACATTTTATATTTGATATACCTGTTGGGTTTTTTCTCTTGAGAAAAGATATAGAAGAAATATCTGGTTTTTCTTTATATGCAGAGAAAGAGATGACTTGATGGATGCACTTGTTTCACTGAGACGAAACATGAAAGAGATGCAGCAAAGAGAATCCAATGCTTGTGAGCAAGTTAAACAAGCTGTGCAAATGGCAGAAGAGGCCAATTTAGAAAAAACAAAGGTAAATTCATCAAGAACCGAGAGCTTTTTAGTATTCAGATCTACTGCAAATGTTAATTAGTTTTCATGCTAATGAGAGAATACATGTGTAAGACCTTTATCACATGTTGATATGATGTAGTAGATTTAAAAAACAGTGTGACTGTTTCTGAGCAGTAACATGAACTCTATATTTGAGTTCTTAAATTCTCATCAAGGCTGTAGGGCGTGTTGCATTCTTAGGCCATCATTTAAATTCTGATGTAGTTTCACAACTAGGTGATAGAAATTGAATGGTAGAATTTTCAAAGGCATTCATGACCTGTAGGAGGGTAATTCTCATATCACATTTCTGACCTACTCTGGAAAGCATATTTAAAATGCTTACAGACAACTTTTTTGCCTCAGATGAGTGCAGTGCAAGAACTGATAAGCTAACATAACTCTTTGAAGATGAGAAGTCTTGTCTGATGCTACCTACAGGAAGCTTTTGGTCCTATGTAAATAATAATAAAACCAGATTAGATTTTGATCTAATGCTTGTGTTAGCCCTAGTTACTATATACAATCCACTGATACTGACCTAAATTATTTCCTTGATATTTAGTGACATCTACTGTATTATTAGTGAATTACTACGGGATTAAGAGAGGGTTTTGTTTTGTTTTGTTTTAAATGAAATGCTGGTGTTTTTAATAATGGACAAGATTGATATAATTGTTCTATTGATCAAATTGGTATTATTCATCTAATGCTGTAAGAGAGAGAGTGTGTTTGTGTAGGGTCTTTAACTATAAAAGTGGGGAAAAAAATAATGAGAGTTGGAAATCCTGTGTACTTGTTGAATTTAATTTCAGAGTATTACAGCATCTTGTTTTTTGCTGAACAAAGAGAGAAAGAATCCTTCTGAGCCCACTGTTCACCTGTCACATCCTGTCCCCGAGGAGCTAAATTTTTCAATTGCTTACTTGTTTACTTTTTTTGGAGTGGGTTCCACAGTTGTCTGATAGAAATGTTACTCACTTACTGCTATGTAAAACTGCACAAAATACTTTTCCTCCTCTATGCAATGAAGTGAAGTTATCTGATCTTCTTCTTTTTCATTTGGTGTTGGAAATCTTTATTTTAATATTTAAAAAGAAAATCCCTATAAATTCTTATTCAGTGTAGCTCGTGTTAGAAATGTGGACTAAGCATAAAACTTAGTAAGACGAATTAGTAGAATCCTTAATAAAAAGGGTCTTCATACCTATACTATTTCTGCCACATAAAGAAAGCAGCTCTGTAGGGTCTCTACTGGCCACGCTCTTTACTGCAGCAAGGAAATGTGAAGTGCTATCTGTTTGTATACAAGTTTTTCCCATGCTCAAAAACTGTAGTCATATGAAGGAACAGGCAGAAATCCTTTACTTATGCTGCATTAACTTAGCATATTTACATGTACTGGTATTTCTCTTGGTAAGTACAAACCATCCTTTATTTTCCCAGTCCTATTCTACTCTTAAGGTGAAGTGCTGTTTTCTTTCGTGATTATCATGGAATCCAAAAGAACAGTCCAGACAGGAAAAGTGAGGAGTTAGCATTTGGAACCCCAATGTGTTATAATTGCAATTTCATCACCCTGTTTACAGAAAGTCTAACCTCAGGTGTTTATTATTTAAAACCGCCATTTTTTCTTGTCTTTCCGTTGTCTCTGTAGTTTGTGACCTCTTGCCTATTACATTGAGCAAGGAGGAGATCTGGTAAGGTTAAACTTCCATAGTGGAAGCAAATCCAAGAATGTATAAATGGTTGAACTGCTTGTTATGTAGTCAAAACAGTGGAGCTAAGAAAATACACATTTCTTCTTACAACTTATTTCTTCTAGAGTTGCATTGTTTTACATGTCTACCAAAATACACCAGTCCTATGCAGACAATTGTTTGCTGATGCTGATGATAAATTCCTACAGAAAAGGATTCAAGGCATCAACAGAGGGATTCCCTCACCCAGGTAGACTTGTGATAGGAAGGAAACCCTGAGGAGGGTCCTGCAGAATTGACATGAACTTATGGAGACTGTTAAAGCATTCTCTAAAAATTATGGTTTAATTTTCTTCCCTTATGAAGAGCCCAACACCAAGGAAATTGCATATAGGGGATTGGCTTTGAGTGAAAAAAGAATAAGCACTTTAAAAAAACCAATTTGAAAATAAAAGGTAATAAGGTAGGAATGCTAAAAGGAGGTTACTTCAGCTTCCTTGACATAAGGTATGCTGAATATCAGTGAAATGATGAAATGAAATCTAGTTTACTCATGGGCTAGCAAGCTGCCTTTAGGTGCTTTGAATACTTTGATTTACTTAATGGAGTAGTGTATTTCTGATTTAAACTGACATAACACTCACCTCCTCTCCCTTTGGCAGGGATACATCAGCATAAATTGATAGATTTTTACCACCCCCCCCAGCTTTTTTAGAAGATAGTGTCTACTGTGCTTCTTGCATATGAACTTAGGGTTTCTTCTATTTTGATAGAAAACACATCTATAACCTGTGTTTTAGCACTTCAAATTAAGCAGGACACTTACGAGTTTGTGGTAGAATTAATCTTCTTTATTTGACAAACCTGAAACTAAAAAAAAATAAATAAAAAAAAAAATTATTTCTTTGTATCTTTACTTATGTCTTCCGGGTTTCTTCTTAGTCTTCTGCACTCAGGAATTCACTTCAGGGGGAAAAGATGTAGAAGTACATACGTTATTTGTTTATTTATTTTTCCTTCAGCTATGCAGCTAGGCAGTAACTACAGTTACTGCAAGGAGTCAGATATTGGAGGCTGGTTCTAGTGATGTACATTCATGAATTTTAAATGCAAGGCAAATAATCATCTTCGTTTTAGAACAGCTACCTATTTGGAAAATATACTCTGAAAAATGCTTCCATCTTTGCCATGACTTTTAAAATCTTATAGATTTATAAATGACAGTAGGGCATGTGAATACATAGAAACATGTACATCTGTTTTCAATTTGTTAGTCCTATTCTAGATGTTAACACGGTAGAGTATGTATAAACATCATAATAACTATGTAAAAAAATAAAAGATGTCCCTTCTGATAGCAAATTGGTTTCTCTGAAGGCATTAGATAAATACCATGTCTGTTTAAAATTTTAGATTTCTTCCACTTAAAAAATTAGTTTTTTCTAGGCTCTAGTCCAGTGTGAGCAGCTGAAAAGTGAAATGGAACGGCAGAAGAATCGTCTTGAAAGGGAGTTAGCGGCTCAGCTAAATAAAAGGACTGATGAAAAAGAAGCACTGCGGGAAGAAATGAAGAAGGAAAGGGAGGACTTGGCAGCAATGGTATGAGTTGGGTTTTTTCTATTTGTGTATTACAATGAGCATATAGTCCTCTTTAAACTTGCTGTTTGCTTGTCTTTCGTTTCGTTTCAGTTTTGGATTTGAGAGCTCAGTAAATCACTTCCACCATTGCTTTAAAGCAGTGGTAGGTAACTTACAGTGATCCTTTGAGTCTGAATAACTGGGTTTTATGCTATGTCTAAATACATACTAAGTTGTTGATGTTATGCACTTTATTTTAGTTTGCATAATATTTTCTAGTGCACTTTGTCAAAGTAGGAAAGGGTTAAGCAATATGTGATGCAAGGTTTGTACCTAGCTTCTTCAAAGATTATTATTTAGGTTGCCAAGTCAAGCATTCAGAAGTTGGCAGATGTCAAAATCAGGATTCTTTGCTACTTTGAGCTTACATATACAGATATATATTAATGTTACAGTATCGTAATTGCATACTAATATGGTATTTTTCAAAGTGATCTTATCATATGCTTAATTTGCCCACCTGCAGAAATGTGTTGGAATCTCTTTTCCCACTTTCGCTGATGTTTATAAACTCTTTGAGACAGAATCTGTCTCATCATTTATGCTGTGACCATTGTAACAGAGCCCTGATAACCTTGTTTTACACTGCTAGATGCTAGTGTAATTTGAGTGTAAAACATAAGGGTTTTCTGCCCAATGGAATCTACAGAGGAAATCTCACGCTAACAGCAGTAAACCTGCGAGACGTGACAGAGGAGGCACTTCTAAGATTGGAGAAAGAAATGGGAAGAAGAGGAGAGAGAGAAATGCACGATGAATTAGTGATTTTCATGCTTGTTTGATTTGCAACCTCTTCAACCATTTTCTGGAGGAGGTTTGGAAACAATATAGTGAATTTCTCTTCTGATTGTAAGCTTTTTCCATATTTTTGGGCTTCTTTTAGAAATAAGCCACACAGTTTATAAAATCTGGAGAGCACAGACTGGATAGAGAGAGCACAGGATAAACTATTTAAGTGTTTAAAAAAGAGGAGGTTCTTTAGTAGTGTGGTTGCTTGTGAAATGGCTGGAAACCTACTAGCGTAGACAGGGAACCATGGTGATATGGTTGTATTTCTAGTATTATGAGATGGTAGAATAATGTTCTGAAGCTGCTACAGGAAGTCAAAGCCTTTGACTCCAGGTCGAGATATTAAAACAGGAATTAAGTACAATGATAGGGATTAAGTGGTATTTAAGAAAGTGAACTGTTGTAAGTCATTATCAGAAATCTGTTGCCAGGGTAAACTGAAATAAAAAAAATAACCTTACACCAGAGACAATGAAACATTATTAAGCAACTCCTAGTTTGAGTCTTTGCTATCTATTGGAAGTTGTCCTTGTTATGCATTTAGTTGTTTAGTTACAGATTTGCTTTAGAGCAGGGTATGCACTCCAAAGTACAGCCTATTAGACAAGTGTTTCATACCTTTTGTTAGTAGAATAATTCACTCCTTAGTGTCACCACATCACTTATTATTTCATCACCCACTGAGATGCATTTTACTGGAACTGATTCCCACTTTGAGTAGTTGTAGTCCTTTTTTTAAATCCTACATACACATTAAACAACATATAGTGACAATATGATGATGTCATGCTTGGTAATTAAAGATATGGGATGACTTTGTAGAAAACTATGATCTATATGCATGATTTACTTCTACATATGATTAGCTACTTTTATGTTTCAGGAAAATGAAATGGTAGAAATGGTATACTGTGCATCAAGTCAACCTCCATATGAATATTTTATCGCTTACTTTATGAAGTGATTTGTTTGAAGGGGAGAATTGGCATGATACATAAATCAGGTGGATGTATAATGAATGAAAAATAGTTATGAATATATAATCCTCTAGGTTTGGCTTTGAATTCCTGTAAGTTAACCTAGAACTGTCAGACACCATTATTTCCACTTATATTAGTAAGCTTCAGGGCTAAATAGCTGAAGGGTCACTGTCTCTTCTTTATTGTTACATTTTTTTACCATTCAGCAAAATTTGATATGAATTACATTAGAATTTTTAACATACTATTCCAATATGGTTTTTGTGCGACATCATGCTTTGATCTATAGTGCTGAAATGTTTTCTGAACTTGAAAATTAGTTTAAGATCTGTTGTTGCAATGACAGTTTTCTTTACCTGGGGGAACATGATTTGGTTTAAATTAATCTACATAAGGATAGATAACAAGGTGTTAAATAGTATTCTTACAGCTGCAAGACTAATGCAACCAGCTAGTTCTGACACTTTGTCCATACTACCAAGTCCTGGAGACTAGTCCAGTTAATGAAAAGTTTCAAATAAACTGCTGTATGATAAATTAATTCAAAATAGTGAACCTATTGTTAAAATAATTTAGCCGTATTCTGCTATATTTTTATTATATATTTTTATTGTATATATTTAATTTTTTATTGTATTCTTAATGCTATGTATTTTGGCTACATAACTACAGTTGCTTTCAAGGAGAAAGTCCCACAAGATTTAGGTCTGTGGTTGGTCAAATTGTGTCATTACAGTGTTCTTGGGCTTTTTGCAGGTGACGGCCATGTCTGAGAATGTGGCCATGTTGGAGGCTCAGGTAGAGAGAATTACAAGGGAAAAGAACTCTCTAGTTAACCAGTTAGAAGAATCACAACATCAGCTTGCATCTCATGAAATGGAGATGAATAAGGTAGGCACATTTATAAATGAGTATTGAGCTTGATTTTCCTTATCATTGTGACTTGAAAGATGAGAAATTTTTTATTTCTGCATTTTCCTGTCTATTGATAAAGAATGTGTGATAAATGTAAACTTCATCTGAAAATCCCAGAGACACAGTTTTACGAGTAAAAACATAACTTTTTCAGTCTGCCAAGTCACCTTGAGATGCAAAAGCTAAGCTTTCTATTTCACTATGCAAATCACTATTGAAAACTGCAATCCAGTGTTTCATTTAAAGTTGCATTTGGTGTGAATGAGACACCATAGTATTCAACCCTGTCCTGTAATTGCTACGTCTGGGATATGCAGTGCTAAAATAAAGGGACCTGTATCAAATCACTGTTTTTCAAGTGCTTTCTTGTAGAATTGGTATGCAGTGTACTGCTTTATTTATTAATATTGATGGTATGCCTTTTACAAAGAGATCTTTCTTCCAGTTAAGAATTATAGCTTAACATCTGTCTATTTATGTGTATCATTTCTGGATGCTTTATTTTGCACGTTTCTCAACCTATTAAAGCCTTAATGGGTCATAACATAAGAAAGAAAAAACAATTGCCATCTGCAACTCAAATTTGTTACAGCCTCTTGAAATGTCTATATACCTTACCAATAATCCTAGGGCCAATCCTACCTCCCCAGTTGTTGACTGCAAGGTTTTGGCAAGCCATTCATTCTTTAGGCCTCTAGAGACTTCTGGAAAGGTTTTCATCAGTCCCTGTCTTCCTCTGCTGCCCCTGCTGGTAGAAGCAGGTGAAAGTATTGCAGAAAATTTACAGCAAAAAGTCGTCCAAACTTATTAGAAAATTTAATTCCATTTCAGCTGAAAGACAAATGAGGGAGCATTTTAAGAATGTCAAAATGGTTTGATTTACCATTTCTGAAGCACACTTTTGGTTTTTCAGACTGGGTTCACAGGTGACTAGCACCACTTATGGGGGGGTAGAGGAAAAAAGGTAGTAGGTATAAATATCTATTGGTCTGGAAAGAATTTTATAGCCTACCAATTTGAAGCAATCTCCCAGGAGAGGTGACACTGTGGTTCCAGTCCCTGCTTCAGTTGATGTTAATCAATACAAAGTTGAATAGGTGGCCACCTTGCAGTAGTCTATGCTGTGTTTTTATTGCACTGTCCTGAGAGATTGGAAAACTGCATTTGTGTCCCTGTTCTGAATTGAGAAGTCTCAAACATCCTGGAGGAAGGTCCTGACCATTGAGCTGTCGGGACTATGTGCATCACCCTGACCTTTTTCATTGACTATGTAAGTGACATCTATGTCTGCTTGTGAATCTGACTCCTTGTTTCCAAACTCCGTTTGCCATTATTAAAAACAGCAAATAGCAACATTTTGCTTTTTGAGTTTTATCTGAAACATTGTTTTCTGCATGCACCAGAAGTCAGGGACAAAAGTTTGGAGTGAGAGTCGTCTTCCTTCATTCTGAACTTCAAGGAGACTGAAAAATCCATTATTAGGACAGCACCATCTGCTGATTCTTCTGTGTTATTCACTTTGTACAATGTATGGGGGAGCTGAAGGCGAGGATGGCTGTATTTTTTTTATTTTGCTTCGAGGAAGTGACATATTGCACTTTGTAACATCCTTCATATAAAGCAAGGAGGAGGTAGAAAGACAGGGTTGGCAATCCATGCAGTTGCATCTCAGAATTTTTTAGTTGCATATGATATTTCAGTATTAAAGAAAGATAATGCTTTAGAACTTTGCCATTCTTCAGAGCATTTGCTACCTTGTGTTACTTGCAACAGGGCTAAATTCACAAACTGTCCTTTGAATTTATAAGTGATGCTGCTTCTTAAAGTTATGACAGTTTTTTTTTATTTTTTCCTAAACATATGTAGTATGTATATTTACTCTTACCCTACCTTTTTTTTAAGAAGAAGGAAAAAAAAAAAAGTAGTGAAAATGAGAAGAGGTATAAGACTGAAAAATAGAAATTAATTTGCGTTGTAGAATGTGTGTGAGGAGATTGTTGAGAAGCACAGAGGGCTGTAGCAGCAAATTAAAAGTGTGCAGATCTAGGAAGCAAGTGGAGCAGGGAAGCAGAGTGACTTGGAAGGAAAGTTCTCCAAGAGTAGCTGCGAGTAAACACATTTGCGTTCTCATTAGGGAATGTGCATATATTTATATTTGGTTAATTAAGGTGAAATGGACAGGCACAAATTGGAGGTGATTGCACAGGATAAGGACAAAAAGGGGACAGCTTGTCCGCCATCCTTCTCCATTCCCAACAGATAAGATCAAATAGAATCCTTTAAAAGTCTTAGGTTGGGAAATGGGAGAATAACATCCCTGCACAGCAGTAGTGAAAGTTATGTGGGAGGGATTGGTGTGGGGATTTTTTTCTTTCTCTTTCTTTCCCCTAATCCCTCTCGAGACCCTCTGAAGTTGAGCTGCCTTCAGGTGGAAAGGAATGAGGAGGTAACATAATGAACATCCCAACAGCAGAGAATAATTGTTGCCTTTGTGGAAGTGATACTAGATTTCTTTAAATGTTGCTTTGATCCCTTTCTTCTGGCCCATGCATATATTTGAATTAGGCATTGTTTTTACAGAATTTATCTTCAGTTTGTAGTAAGTCTATAATGCTCTGATCTAACTTTGAAAATTACCGTATTAACATCTAAACATTTTCTTTCTTAACAGTGGAAAATTGGCAAGATAAGAAACTACGCCCTTATATAGGAGTGTGATAGATCCTTTACTTCTAGGTTTTGAAAGTGTTGACGTAGACTTTCTTCGGATTTTAGAGAGAATGGGAGAAGAATATAAAACCAGCAACTGTAGTTTAACTGTATTTAGTAGCACACATATTTACAACATAAATATTTATACTTAGAAAAATTTTGATCCAAATATAATTGAATCTAGAAGGCACTGCATATTTCAACGTTAATGACTATATAGAGAATTCAGATCCACCTTTTTATATAAAAACATTTACCATATGTAGTCTTAAAATATCTGTAAATTAAAATATGTTGCGTTTAAATGACCTCTAGAGGGCACCAAAAGATCTAATTGCAAACCCTGGGCTATGGCTTCTTCAAGCTACAGATCCTGTTGTCTGTATAATCTAACAGGTGTGTGGAGAAATGCGCTATCAGTTGAATCAAACCAAAATGAAGAAGGATGAGGCAGAAAAGGAGCTCAGAGAGTACAGAACAAAAACTATAAGGGAGCTTGAAATTAAGGACCAGGTAAGAGATAATACTGCTATAACTTTGCAGTTATTAGAAGCCTAAGTAGGGTTATTTCGGAAGCTGGAATGATTCATTTTTCTAATAGTGGTCATTTATTACTGTTAAATGGTTTCTAAATTAATGGCAACAAGCCAGCTATTACTGTTAAATAAATACCTCTTGGTTATCTTATTCTTGTTTTCAGCCCTAGTATGTTCAGTTTTACATATACTCATCCCATGCTTTCATATAGAATTACTCTATCATATGTATTCATACAGCGTACTTAAATTATATGTACTGTATACATATGTTTATACACTTTTTCTCACAAATAAATCCACAAATAATTATGTATACATGCAGCCTGACAAAACATTACAGACTCTAAGTATAACCTAACTATACCAAAAATGAAAATCATTTATCTTCCAGTTTCTTTAAAGATTCAAGCTTAATGAATGCTGGGATTCATCGAAAAGTTAAAAAAAACCCCAAAACAAAACAAAAATAACCTTCTAGAAAAAATAACTATATAAAAATTCCACTAGGCAATAATTGCTGATTATCTAAAACTGTGGGTTTTAATAATACAAAAACCAGTATACGCCTTACAGGTAGTCTGTGAGAAAACATCCCATGCAGTAAGAAAGATTATTAGAGTAACCTGCGACATACTTGGCAAACAGCGTGAACAGGTGTAATCTGCATCTTGTGAAGTGCCCTTTTTGTTGAGGTTCTATCCGTTTTCTCTAGGTATTCAAACTTCCAGTTATTCCTTCATAAGTTGTGATTTGCACATGAGAGTGGATGTCTTCTGAATACACAGATGTATAAGATGCACATGAGGATAATTTTTTTAATATGCATTTTGTTATTAGAGCAGCCTATCCAACAGGTTTTAAATAATTTTTTTCTTGTGAATAAGTAAACAAATCGGTCCCTGTGTAAGATTTTTTTAAAATGCAGTATTTCTAAAATTGTATTTTTATTTACCAGTTCCCCAAAATCTTCATGTAGGACAGTAAGTTTATTAACTTAATAGTACGAGCTTAGGCTGGAAGCAATTATTAATTCAAATTATAATCAAAAGATACGTAAAATCCAAAAGAGAAGTTTATTAGGTAAAATAACTCTTCAATATGTATAGAAAATCATACAGCGCAGAAAAACAGGGGCCTTAAAGCATTTTGTTTTCAGGGTTGGCTTTTTTCTTTTTTTTTTCTTTTTTTTCTACTCCTGCATCCTTTAGGCCTAAGGACACTTTAAAAAACAAAAAACAGGCTTGTCGTCTGTGTCTTGACAGATATCACAGATAAGAGAGTTGGCATAATCTTGGCATACAAGTAAAACAGGATGTGTTTAATAAGATATTTGAAGAAGTATCTTGGATTTTAAATCCTGTTCTCCAACTTGCTTCAGGATTGCCTTTTGAACAAATTGCAAAATTTAACAAAATATTTTAACCTCATGTATCGACATAGTGGTATTTTATTCAGTGTGGGAATGAATACACCAAAATGTGGTGATTTATAATTTGATATAATTAAAGTGAAGTGGTGGGAGGGGGAGTTCCTGTCAGCAAAGATTATTAGAGTAATTCAGTAATTACGTAAAGTAATTGTATTGTTCAAATATGATTGTTGGTTTCTTAAAAAAAGGAAAACAAACTATTTTGAAATTCTCAGGCTCAGCATCTAGCAGCTGTTTTATAGCTGTGGCTCTAGTCACCAAGAAAGTTCTGTATAGGTCCTAATATTATTTGATATGTTAAAAGGCAACCAAAAAGAGCGTGTGTACATTTTGGGGTTTTGGTTTTTGCGGGTTTTTTTAAAATCAAATTTTAACAACTGTTAATAAGTCATTGCAAATTATTTCATTTAAATGAAATGAAAACAGCTCAATCGCATCTATCTTTGTATTTAAAGAAAAACCTAAAATGTTTCATCTTATATGGCACTGAATAGCAAACAGTAATTGTTCTTTGGTCTCTCAGCCATGACCTGACCTTCTGGCTAAGAGAGAGTTGATACCTTCCTTGGCCACCATCTGTTCATAATAAATACATATTTATTTTTTAAAAGTAGAGAGACAATGATGTATGAATATTTTCGTGCTATTCTATATGAAATGCTGCATTTTTCTCTTTTAAAAGCAAAGAATCGTCTTTCAGAATGTCTTTTGATATATTGAAAGTGAGTTTACTGTTTCTTGAAGTATGATTGTATTTTTAATTGTGCTGTGGATAAATTTTAGTTTTGAAGATGTATTTTCGTTTATATGTAGTGACTTTTAAAAAGGGATTAAAGTTATTCAGGTGTGTCAGAATAGGCAGAAATCCCCATATGTACAATTTAGGATCATCAGATACGTATACTTATATCTCAGTAAATACAGATATGTATTTAACATGCACTGATATTTATAAAGTTCCTCCAAACTGAATTTGTATCATTTAGAAAAATTAAAGGTCTTTGGTCTTACCCTCTTTTATTCTCATATCTCTTCTCCTATCTTTATTACCCAGTTAAGACTAATAACAAATATTGGCACCTTGGTATGACTACGTGTTATTAATATTTGACATGAATATTTCTTAGAATAAAAATGAAGAAGCAATGAGCAATGTTACCATTTAAATTGATGTAATATCATCCATCATGATCCTGATTAACTTTAGGATTATGGAGGGACCTGGGGCAAAGACATACACCACACAGTTTCTCTACACAAAAACTGCATCTGTTCATCTGGCCCAGTATGTTGTAAAATAGCATAACCTACTGCCCTCTCTTTTTCTCTCTCAGCCCTCCCATTGTGGATGTAGCTGTGCTGAAATAACAGTGCCTTGCTTAATACTTTTCCTTCTTAGGAACAAGCTTTATAAGTTATACGGGTATAATGCCTTCATGGCAGTAAACTCTGTCCACACTAGGGGTTGTACTAGCACAGCTATATCAGAGAAAAGTCACGCCCTAACCTAAATAGCTGTTATCAGAAACAAAATTGTGTGGCATATTTCACACAGCAGGACTTCACTTTTATAATACTTTTTCTGTGAATTTGGAAGCGCTGCGTGGCATAATTTGTGCATTTCTAATAGAAATCATACTTCTGACACACTATGAAATCGTTTCCTCAGATTAGCATCACTTGCTCTTTTCTGCTCTGCATTATAAAAATAAAAATGAAGTACACTGTTAATCATTTGCTTTCTGTTTGTCTGCAAATAATTTTTATTTGGTTTATATAATCGTGCAAGCTTCAGCATGTAGAAGTGAGAAGAGTTTTGTAGTATTGGTTTATGCAATCCCAGCCAATTTGGGCGTCACCCTTACTAGGTAGTTCTTACCGGTAGCATTGCACCACTGGGAGTTGTGGTCTCCTTGTAATAAAGCAATAGGACATGTTAAATCCAACTTCAGAAACTAACCGAAGCTTTTAAATTTTATTTTACCGTGTTTTGAGGAATCAGATAAATACTTCGTGTAGAAATAAATCCAAGCCGGTAATCTTAACCTGTAAAAAGCCATTCTTTTAATACTGTCTTTAAAATTGGGCAAACGTAGTTTGAAGCAGGGGATTACAGAATTTTGTTGCCTACCTTGTACGTAACAGAATGAAAAGCTCCAGAAATATTATACCAAAACCCACAGATTTTTAAGAGTTGCCTGTATGGAAGTTCATGAGCCCAAATAAAAAGAAGTTGGAGAGTAACTGATATACATAGCCTATACAAATGGAAAGAGCTACACATCAAAGCATTTTTGTGTAGTATGACAGAACCTAAATGATGTCTCTGTACACTATAGACTGACAATTTTGCAGACAAATAAAAATCTGGCAAAATTGCAGTCCAAAAGCATTTTGCCAAAAGGTATTTTGGGAATGTTTATCTCATTTGTCATAAATCCGCGATTTATAGTAACCTAATTTAGACATTGTAAGTGGAGAGATTACTGACTCTGTCTTCATCAGAAATAATGCAGGCCAAGAATTTGGGTATATATCCTGGAAATGCTGCAGAGTGTCCGATGCAAGACCAATACAACCTTCTGAAGACATGATTCACTGAAATGCTTTTTATGAATAGGTATCAGGCTTCCATGAGTCAGGCTTTAAAATACTAGATTTTTCACAAGCTGGGACATTCAGGATATACCCAGATGTTTTGAAACTTAATAAAATTGCAAGTTTTAATAACGCTGGTGAAGATGGATTAGGATTATGTGTTATATGTATTCTTGTAACAGTCCTATACCTAAGATTTTGTGACCTCATTAGTTAAAAAGATGCTCTGGAAGTTCTGTTTGGAAAAGAAATTCTGTTAAATCAGAAAACATACTTGAATACTATTTGGCAGGGAGGAAAAATCCAAAACGTAGCAGACAGCTTGAAACTCTTAGCATCACATTCTCTTTCCTGGTCTAATCTTGAGTATAATGGCCTTAAAAGTAGCAAAACAAATTGCTTTTGGACATGAAAAAATTAAGAAAATGTGATAACCTTTGCTGTAACTTAACTCTTTTTAATGTATCATTTTCAGTTTTGGGCATTCAGTGCACTAATTTGAAAATGGGAAAATAAGGAGGGGGTAAAATGATAGTACTTTATGCCTTGCTTTGATATGGATTTTCTGACCTTTTCAGGAGGAACATCGTTCTTTTTTATAACTGAACTTACTAGCTCATCTGAAGATTTTTGAGGAAAAACATTGATCTACAACCCTGCAATATATAACAAAAGAAATGTTTAATTACAATTATGATATGGCTGCTGCTGCTCTGCTATGGCATTGCTTTCCTCTGACGACCTTCCATTCCTCAAGGATCAGTGTTATGAGCAGCCTTCATTAAATACTTGGTCATGTTTCCATAAGAAAAATCCCTGGGACTGGGATTCCCAGTAGTAGAATTTTCTGTACTGACTGGTCAGCATTTTCTGTACTGGCCTGCTTCCCCTAAGCAGCTGGTCTGCTAAGAGGAATGACCCAGTTGGTAATCAGGATTTTATTGTTC